CGCTGCAGAGCTCGCTGACCACGGGTCTCTCCAACAAGGCAGACCAATCGGCCTTCGACGTGCTGGAGGGCGTGGTGGCTACGAAGAGCACCCCGGACGGCGTGGACCTGAAGCTGTCCAACTACAGCACCACGGCGGCCATGAACAGCTCCATCGCCTCGGCCAACAACGCCACGCTGGCCACGGTGGCCGCCAACTACGGTCTCAAGACGGTGGTGGACCAACACTCCCTGGACATAGCGGCGAGGATCACGCCGCTGGAGGTGGACACCAAGGTGGCCAACGCTCTCCTGGGGGCCGTCACCGCCGCGGTGCTGGCCTCCGAGCTCGCGAGCCGAGACGCCTCCATCTCGGGGCTGCAGGCCTCCAAGGCAGACGCCAGCGCCCTGACTGCTTACGCCCTGCAGTCGGCCGTGGACACTTCCTCGGAGGTGGACTCTAAGATAGCGGCAGCCCTCTTGGACCGTCACCACGGCAGCCCTGGACGCCGCCCCGCTCCTCGGCAAGGCGGACGCAAGCGCGCTGGCCTCCCTGCTCTCCACGGTGGACGGGCTGGACACGCCGCTGGAGGTAGACACCAAGATAGCAAATGCCCTGCTGGGTCTCGCCACCGAGGCCTTCGTCGCAGCGCAGCTTGCTAGCCGGGACGCCAGCATCACGGCGCTCCAGGGGGCAAGGCCGACGCGACGCTGCTGGCCTCATACGCCACGAACGCCGCGCTCTCGCCAGCGAGACCACGCTCCAGAGCGCCCTCGACGCAATCCTCGCGGAGCTCGCCGCCCTGCAGCTTTCCGGCGGCGGAGTTGTTAACGCGCCGGCCTGGGCGGGCTTCACAACTTGGGAGCTCCTTCGCGGAAGCAGCGTCGTTCGCAACCTGCATTTCGTGGCTCCTCTCTCTGCTGCGCTGGCCAACGGCGACGACACGCTGAGCATCACGGCAGACTGCTACTCCACGGCGGGCACTGACGCTGCCATAACAGCAGCCTTGCTGGCCTACTACACCTCCTCACAAGTGGACACTCTGTTGGGAGACTACCGCACAGGGGCAGCGCAGGACGCGGAGACGACCAGCGCCATCACAGCCGCGCTGCTGGCCTACTACACCGCAGCGCAAGTGGACGCGCTGTTGGGAGACTACCGCACGGTGAGCGCGCAGGACACGCAGACGCAGGCCGCCATCACGGGCGCGCTGCTGGCCTACCGGACGGGCCCGGACCAGGACGTGTTCACAACCAACCAAATCACCTCCGCGCTGGTGGCGTACCGCTCGGCCGCCGACCAGGACACGGCAACGGCCTCAAGCATCGCCGCCGCCCTGCTCAGCTACTACACCATCACGCAGGTGGACGGTTTGTTGGCCAACAAACTCGGAGTCACGGAGGCGGCCTCGGCGCTGCAAATAGCCGTGCGCTTTCCGGACGACGGAGGGGCCGACGAGGTGGTGGCCGCCATAGGAGAGCAGATCCTGGGCCCCACGGACGTCTCACTGTCAAACTGGACGGTTCGCCCCAGCAGCGGCTGCAGCGTGGTCCTGGCCACACACACCGCGGGAGTGAGCGTGGACGGCTACACCCTGACCCTGGCGGCGAACCCGTGGAACATTGCGCGCACCTACAACTTGACGCCCGGCCGAGAGCTCCTCTTCGCCTGCCGCTACCGGCTCGGCACGGCCTCCAACTTCGTGGTGTACATGTCCGAGGCAGACAACGTCTACGACCCCGTGTACGGCAGCTTCGTGGGCGACCAGGGTGCCTGGAGCACTGCCAAGATGTACTTCACAGTGCCTCCGAACGGTGTGGCGAAGCTGCACTTCGGGGCGCACTTCCAGGCGCCGGGCCTGCCCAACCAGACGGCTGGAACGGTGGACGTCTACGGCCTCCAGATCCTGGACGCAACCCTGGAGACCGGCGACACGGTGGAGGAGGAGGACACGGCGGCCTCGGCCCTGCTGCTGAAGCACGAGTTCCTCGACGGAGGGGCCGACGACGTCACGCTGGCCACCCTGGGCGAGGTGCTGCTGGAGCCCACGCTCACCACGCTAGGAAATTTTCTGGTGCGCTCCAACAGCCAGAGCTCCGTGGCCTCGGCCAGCTTCACGGTGGGAGGCTTCCAGCTGGAGGGCTACCCTGAGCGCCTTTCGCCTGGAACATTGTGCGCACCTACACGCTGACGCCGGGGAGACGCTACTCCTTCGGCTGCCGGTACCGGCTGGGCACGGCCTTCAGCGCAGTGACCGTCAACGCGACCCGGCCGACAACGACACCGTGGGCGTCACCGGCACGGCTGCTCGGCGCCCCCTCGCAGGGTCTGGAGCACGGCGCGCCTGGACTCGGTGCCGCCGGGCAGGATCCGCGAAGCTTGCTTCCAGGCCTTTCGGCAGATCATCCCGACCTGGTGTGATCGGCTTAGGCACGCTGGACAATACCGGACCTTGCTGGCCGATCGCTGGCCCTCCACGGGCTTCAGCCACTCTGGACGGACTCCTGCGCAGAACGGCGTGGGCTTGCGACCAGCTTGCTTGTGCAACGACGTAGACCTGGACATTGACACCACAAACGGGCGTGGACGCCTCGGGCGCCATTTCCTGCGCAGCGCTCCCAGCCACCGGCACCGTCGCCGGGGCCGCGCTGTCGTCCACGGGGGCCGTGTCAGGCAGCTCGCTGAGCATCAGCGGCGCGGCCAGCGTGGGCCTGCTGAGCTCCGCCACAGGAATCACGGGCAGCACACTTACCATCAACAACACGGCCAACGCCGGGAACTTCACCACGGTGGGCGACGTGTCCACGGGGACACTGACGGCCTCGGGCGCAGCAACCGCGGCGAGCTTTGCAGCCACCGGGGCGGTCACGGGCGCCACGCTGACAATCACCGGGGCGGCCTCCGCGGGCCCGCTGGACTGCGAGAGCCTGGACTGCACCTTCACGGCCACGAGCGGCGGAGTGTCGACGGGCAGCGTGGTGTACGGCGACGTGACGAGCTCGGGCACGGTCTCCGCGCCGCAGCTCTTCGCCTCCAACACGCTCACCGTGACCAACACCTCCGACTTCTCGGACGATCTCTTTCTGACGAAGAACTGGGCGGGCTGGAGCAAGCTGCAAGTGTCCAACAACAGCGCGGCCCCCGACAGCGGCCCGGAGCTGCGGCTGCTGGGCAACCAGAGCGCGCGGGTCTTCCTGGAGCGAGACGGCGGGGCGCACCAGTGCGAGCTCATCATGATCAACGACGAGGCGCTGGTGCAGACGAAGAGCCTCTCGACGCAGCTGTCCTTGACCACGAACCAGAGGAACCCCGGCTGCCTCGTGATCGCAGGCAACACGGGCAACGTGGTCTGCAACACGAGCTTCACGGACTTGTCCGACAGCCGGGTGAAGACGGAGATTGCCGAGGCCGACGTGGCTGAGCTCAAGCAGCTCTTCGACTCCGTGGAGGCCAAGCAGTACAAGCGCCCGGACATGAACGGGGACCTGAGGCTGGGCTTCGCCTCGGACGACTTCGCAGGAACGAAGTGGAAGAATTTGACGGGGACCACGCGGTGGAGCGACGGCACGGAGATGGTCACCCTCGACTACTCTCACCTCACCAGCGTGCTCTGGGGGGTGTGCAAGGGCTTCCAGGCCCGGCTGGACGAGTTGGAAGCCTGGCAGGCCCAGCGGGGGCCGAAGAACAAGTAAACATGGAGGCGCTGAGGGACCTGGCCGACGACTTCAACGTGCGGGACCCGCGGAAGCTGTACCGACTTGCGAGGCAGCGCGACCTCGACGTGACGCAGGCCATGGCCTTCGCGACTCGCGAGGCGCTGAAGGCCGACGTGGGCCGGCAGGCGCAGGCGCCCCGGCCGCGTGCGCTGGGCAAGTCGGCCGCCGAGGGGCCGAACGACCGGCTGCAGGCCGACCTCATCGACTTCAGCCAGAACACGCGGGGGAAGACGAAGTACGGCCTGGTGGTGATGGACGTCTTCACCCGGGAGGCCGCCGTGGAACCTCTGCAGAACAAGAACGCCGAGACGGTGGGCCGGCCACCAAGCGCGCCGCGCGGGAGCTGACGGGGGACGACGGGAACTTCGTGGTCACGACGGACCTGGGCAACGAGTTCGCCACGCTGGACCGGGAGCTGCCCGCGGAAGCCGTGCACCGGACGAAGCGGCCCGAGGACCGCAACGCCATTGCCGTGGTGGACCGGGGCATCCAGACGCTGAAGAAGGACCTGGCCACGCGCGTGGCCCGCAAGGGCGGCCAGTGGAGCGACCACTTTCAGCAGACCGCTTCGGCCTACAACGCGCGGCCCCACGAGACGGTGCACGGCGCCCCGGAAGACGTGGAGAAGCAGCCGGCCACGGAGTTCAGGGTCCTCCAAGACAACGCCGACAAGTTCCAGCACAACAAGGACCTGACAAACCGCCGTATCAAGGCAGTGGAGGACGCGGGCGCTTTCCGAGCACCGACGAACGCGGCGAGGAGCTTCAACCCTCAGTACGGCGACGTGCAGCAGCTGCGGGCCGTGGACTCCATGACCGTCCGGAGCACCGAGGGCCGGGAGACCCTGCTGAAGCTGGCGCTGCCGGCGCCCCAGGGCAGCGGCAACGCGGCGGGCCGACTGACGAGGCGGGGCAGGCCGGCAGCTGTCAGGCAGCTGGACGACTTCCTGGCGCCTCCAAGGCCCAGGACCCTCGACTGATTACGGCTACTTTGGACCAAACTGGAAACTTTGCATAAAGCGCTGGAAACTTGTAGTACTTTGAGTCTGTTTTTGGGGAACCCTAGCATGATTTTCCTGAGAGCACCCCAAGTCTCTCGGACGTGTCCTCGACCTATCGACCTGCCCGAGCAAGACGTCGAGACCGCAGAAGCCTCAGGCATTGAGGCATCTAACAAGGGTTGGACATCTGAGGTGCGCTCAAGACAGCAAGGGTTGGACAGTGTTTTCCTGGCGCAAACACGCCATCTGTTCACGTGACTTGCCGGGTCTCTGCAAATGGCTGACACTGTACGTCACCCAAAAGCCTAAGAGCTACTTGCCGATCGGAGCTTCACACCCACCATGCGCTCATTTTGCTTGAGGGTGGAGATGTACCGCGGGCCATAGGATTGTCCTTTGATCCCCAACTTCGAGATCACGCTCTTTGCCGCGCCCAAGGTGTCGCTGAGGTAGGTCTTCAGCGCCATCGTCAGCTCCGTGTGGAGGCTTGCTTCCTTCAAGGGCACCAGCTCACACATCTCTGTCATGAAGGCCTCGGGTTTGGCCTCCTCGTCCTTGTCTGCACATGGGACCAGGTCCATGGCGCTCATCTTCATCTCCGGTGGCTGCGGCTTGATCTCGGTGCCTGGGTTGTACTCCATCTCCAACGAGTCCACGAGATTTGCCGCAAGGAAGAACATGTACTTGTTGAACTCTCCTCAATTTATCCGGGTCTTGAGGCCATCCACGGCTCGCTCCTCGGTGGCCATGGACGGCTTCAAGGTGAAGCTGACCGTTGTCTGGCAGACTCGAAGCCGCCGCAGCATCCCATCCGGTCGAGTCACACGGGGAGGGTGATTGCTTGTTGCCACCAGCAAAGCCGTAGGCATGAAGTCCCGGGAACCCTTGTTGAGCTTCCTGCTGCAGACTGGCGCACCTTCCATGTCACAAAAGGGTCATCCGCCAACGAGTAGTGCTCGGGGACTTCACTGGCCCAGGCCAGCCGCTTGCCTAGAGCCCTTGCATGGTAAGGCGCGGGTCCGTCCTTCGCGGTCAGGTAGCGAGTCTGTTGCACCACATAGTTTCCCGGAAGCTGCACCCCGTAGTTGTCCTTGCCGTGACCGAGGAAGGCGTGCAACATCTTCACCTTGGTGTCCTTCCCGGAATCCTGGCTTCCCCAGATGTAGTACATCTCGCAGAACCGCGGCGTCGCGGAGATGGCCCTGGTCATGAGACGCAGCTCGTAAAGGACGGAGTCCCAGTCCCCGTACACCTTCCTGTGGCGGAGGATCTCGCACCCGTCCTGCTCCAATTCCTCGAAGCACTCGATGACCTGTTTGCCATTCTCGCTGGCCTCGAGCAGACACACCCCCGTCTCCACATGCTCCTTCAAGAAAGCCAGGATGCGCTCGAAGAGCTTGGTCGCCTTGCTCGGCTGCCACATCTCTGAGGTCGCCTTTGCGTGGAAGCCCATGCGGTCGGCGGGGATCGGTGATCGGAGGACACGCTCCTTGAAATCGTAGAGCATGCCGTCGCAAAAGAGGATTTTGTGCCGTGTCTCGTCGCCGTCGAGGTCCGCCATCTGCGGGCCTGCCAGACGCCCCAGAACGGACGAGGACAGACCGGTGAAGAAGGCATTATCGTTGAGGGGCGGCGGCGGCACGTAGTTCTCATCGACTGTCTCGAAGACCGGGCAACACATCTTGCACATCAGGTCTTCCACGGTCTGGCCCAAGTCGTCCCGGTTTCGCACCAGCCAGAAGCCTCCCTTCTCGAAGCTTTCGTAGGTGGTCCTCTTCTCACCCCCCTCCACCGGAACGTGTACGACCGGGACCAGCTGCGCCGCCGCCAGCTTCGCAAAGTCCACGGTGTTTGCCCTCGCCCTGCCGCCGCCATCTTCTCCATCTGCAACCTCTCGTGGTGGGCGTACAGGGCAAAGGCCCCCGAGGCAGTGGAGCGGCCCTGCTCCATGTGCCAGTCCTTGGCCTTCTGTGGCAGCAGCTCAAAAACGCCACGTGGTAGAGGCGCGCCGCCGTCTCGAAGCCGTAGAGCCAAGCAGCCACCTCGCCGCGCTCCCCCTCATCCGAAGCCAAGGGTATGTCCTGCAGCACCTTGCTCGTCCAGTTTGCGAAACCACCCCCAAAGCCCAGGGCAATCATCAGCTCCTACGCCACGCTGCGCCGGCGGGCCTCGGGCAGCTTGTGGAAGAGCACGCGGCCGATCTGCGCGAGCTTCTCCTCACGGTGGTCCAGGTACTCCGCCATGATGGGCGGCAGCGGCTTCTGTCGGTTCAAGAGCTGGAAGAACGAGTTCTTGATGTCCAGCTCGACGGATCCAAGGCGATGCCGCGTAATGTAGCGGACCAACTTCTTGAAGGCAAACGCAGAGCGCCCCACAAGCGTGTCTGGGACCCCCATCTCGATCTCCTTGCGAATCTCCGGCGGCAGCTGCTACATGAACTCTGCCCGAGCGGAATCCACGGCGCCCTCATTGCCTTTGCGCTTTTTGGCAGGCGCCTCCTGTGCGGGCACCCGACCGATGCCGGAGAAGATCCGCCCCTACAGCCCAGGCGCGGTGCGGCCTGGGCGCAGGAGCACGGGAATCCACCCAACGCCGTCCTGGTCCACATTCACAGAGCGCTTGAACAGGCTCATCAGCACATCAAAGAGACTGTGGTCGGGGCATCGCCGCACGGCGTCGAGCTGCAGAGCGTTGCTGTTGGTGAACACGTCCGTCCGCTCCCAAACAAGGCGATGGTGTTTTAGGTTATCCTCGGGAGGCTCGGTAAACTGCTCCTTGAACTGCGTGTAGTGCCCCAGTTGGGCGGGTGTCGGAAGCTCTACCTCCTCCTCTACCTCCTCCACCTCCTCAGCCGGCTGGTTGGCTGGTTCTCGACCGGCCCATGGGCCTCCGTCTCCTCCTGGGCCTCAGCCGGCTTTTCGGCCGGCTCATGGGCCTCCGTCCGTCTCCATCTGCTCCTGGGCCTCGGCCGCCTCCTCGACCGGCTCCTCGACCGGCTCCTCGGCCGGCATGGGCCTCCGTCTCCTCCTGGGCCTCCGTCTCCTCCTGGGCCTCAGCCGGCTTTTCGGCCGGCTCATGGGCCTCCGTCTCTGCCGGCTCATGGGCCTCCGTCTCCGTCTGCTCCTGGGCCTCCGTCTCCGTCTGCTCCTGGGCCTCAGCCGGCTTTTCGGCCGGCTCCTCCGTCTGCTCCTGAACCTCCGCAAGAGCCTTTGAGAGCCTCCTTTCAAAGATGCGTTGGAGCTCCCGCACCGACTCAGCTTCCTCGGGGTTGGCATCATTGAGGTTGAGCCACTGGAGCCTCGCCAAGGCTTCCTGGCACACAGATCTCTCAAGGCGCTTGCGCCGACGGAGAAGGCCGTCACAGAAATTGATGACCTCTACCACCGGATCTCGGATCTCGCACAGCGCGCGGTGCAGAAGCCCCTCCAGCTCAGTCATGGGCCGCTGGCGAGTAGCGTCTGGATCACTGACGACCGCCAAGCTCTTGATGCTCTGCATCTCACCGAAGGCCTCTCCAGCGCGGGGGTCCGTGCACTTGTCCGGGCGCACCAAGTGCATCATCATCTTGAAGCAGGACGACGCAGAGCCGGGGAAGATCCTGAAGCCGCACTTCTCGCCAACTCGATGCGTTGGGCTCAGCACGAGCTGCACCGCCAGGGACCGCGCGGCATCCATGGTCATGGTAGGTGTCGAAAGCTAAGTTCCTTCGGAGAAAATGCTTCAAAAGATAAAGATGGCACGTCCCAGCAAGTACCCGAACGCTTGGCAATGACTGGCAACCAGGCCCCGGACATTCGGAAACAGCAGTCGAAGTCGAAGGCGTCTGAGCGGCAACTCCACCCGGTCCTGGAGATGCTTGTCAAATGGCCTAGTTCTGTGCCCCCCCTGAGGCGGTTTTTTATTTATATAAAAATCTAAATGCTTCGATCCCTCGTGCTTCGATCCCGGGCATCCCGTGCTTTCTGTGCCCCCCTGAGGCGGTTTTATTTATATAAAAATCTAAATGCTTCGATCCCTCGTGCTTCGATCCCTGGCATCCCGTGCTTTCTGTGCCCCCCTGAGGCGGTTTTATTTATATAAAAATCTAGATGCTTCCATCCCTGGCAGGTTGTCTCCCGTGCTTTCTGTGCCCCCCTGAGGCGGTTTTTTTATATAAAAATCTAAATGCTTCCATCCCTGGCAGGTTGTCTCCCGTGCTTTCCGTGCCGCCCTGAGGCGGTTTTTTATTTATATAAAAATCTAAATGCTTCGATCCCTGGCATCCGCTTTCTGTGCCCCTTGAGGCGGTTTTATTTTTTCTAAAAAACTAAATGCTTCAATCCCTCTGCAGGCAGTCTGACAAGGAATGCGCGCGTTTAGCTTTTTATATAAAATATAAACTTATTTTTTCAATTAAGTGCTTACGGATAGGTCCCTGCGCAAGGTGTCTGGGGACCTATCGATTCGAGCAGTGTGAAACTCTTGGCCTGCAGGCAGTCTGACAAGGAATGCATGCGTTTAGTTTTTATATAAAATGAAAACTTTATTTTTTTAAAAAAAAAAGAAAAGAATACTTCCTCGCGGCTTGTCAAATGGCCTAGCTCTGTGCCCCTTGAGGCGGTTTTGTTCATATAAAAATCTAGATGCTTCAATCCCTCTGCAGGCAGTCTGACAAGGAATGCATGCGTTTATTTAGTTTTATATAAAATATAAAAATTTATTTTTTAAAAAAAGAAAAGAATACTTCCTCGCGGCTTGTCAAATGGCCTGGGTCTGGCGCTGGGGGGAGGTTTTTTGGGCAATGCCGAGTGGGCACGTAGGATTAATACTGCTTCGCCCAACGACCTGGAACTCAGCTCCGTGCGCTTCGCATGTTGGCATCCCTATATCACACACCTCAAGGATGAGGATGGCTTTTTTATTTATATAAAAATCTAAATGCCTGTGTGCCAAGTCGAAGGTGTCTGAGCGGCAGCGGCTCGATTTATTTATATAAAAATCTAAATGCCTGTGGAAAACCGCCTCAAGGGGGCGCAGAAAGCACGGGGACAACCTGCCAGGGATCGAAGCATTTAGATTTTTATATAAATAAAAAGCCGCCTCAAGGGGGCACAGAAAGCACGGGGACAACCTGCCAGGGATCGAAGCATTTAGATTTTTATATAAATAAAAAACCGCCTCAGGGGGGCACAGAAAGCACGGGAGACAACCTGCCAGGGATGGAAGCATTTAGATTTTTATATAAATAAAAAACCGCCTCAGGGGGCACAGAAAGCACGGGATGCCAGGGATCGAAGCACGGGATGTCCAACCCAGCAGCTGTTTACAAAAACAAGTTTTTGTATACGGCCGGCGGGCGGGGGGGGGGGAAAAAAATACAGAAAGGGGATTTGAAGGAACTGAAAATCCTTTCTGTATTTTTTCTATCAACCAATGAAAAACACATTGAAAAACCAAGTATCAACTAATAGATAAGGTTAATAAATCACAACCTTTTTCATTCTAAGTAATTCCTAGAAAAGATACACACCTTATCCATTATTTTTTCACTACTTAACCTATTTCATTTTACTATTTGTTTACCCTTATTCATTTTATATTTTAAGTCTATTTCCAATTCTCAGAAACTCCAGTTGTTCTTCATTTTTTCTTTTTACCTTATTCATTGTTCACGAATTTTTCACTCAGACTTAAAAATATGACTAAAACACATTTCACCTAATAGCTCCACAAAACCAAACAGTCAAAGCACACAAGAAAACTAAGAAATTATATTAATTCAATCTTTACAAACGATAAGTATAGTATAATTATAGCATATAATATTTTACATGTTATAATTATATTTCAATTAATAATTATGGGTTACATTTATAGTCAGGAAAAATGTCTTCAAATATGTAATCTACATATTTATCAATATCGCCAATATCTATATATTTGATATTGTCTTTTCCTATTATAGAATAAATATATTCCCAGAAAAACAAATTAACTAGTAGCCATACTTGATATTTAGTGTTGTAGTAAGACCATACATGATATTTAGTTATTTTAAATTCATTCAAGACCTCGTTTATTTTATCTTTACTTAATAAATGCCAATCAATCGCATCAAACATGCCTCGAATTTTTTTTAACAAATGCTTTATATGGTTTAATTGCGCTTGTCCCTCCAAACCTTTTAATCAAATCTTTATTATTAAAAAACTCATCAATTTCTTTTTCAAATGACTCTCTATCAATTGTATGGTAAAAACATACAGGACATCGTTTTTGATATTTCATAAAGAATGTCAATTGTAATTGAAACTTTGTATATCCCTTATCCTTATATTCTTCAACAAACAACTTTTCAAGGTCTCTTGTTATACAGCATTGATTACAATATACATCATATTCACTTATTTTATTACTCAGATTAGCAGGTAATAAGTTATACAATGTAAAATTAATATCATTCTTTTTATTATTACAACATTCACACTTACTATAATTAAACAGTGTCATTTTTCCTCTTAATATAATAAGTCAATATTTCTTTAAGTCGTTTTCAAAGAATTTATTTTATAATGGCCGTAAGCAAGTGAGTTTACACTATCTATCCAATATTTTTTGTTTTCATAACTACTAAGAGCAATTTTTTTAGTTGTTATACTAAAAATTCTGTGGTTTTTACTTCTAATACTATTAAATGACTTATGTATAACCTCATTAGTTTTTAAAACCGTCTCAAACTCTTCATATTTCATTTGACGTCTTACTGTGCCTTTTGCTATTCCCTTACATTTCTTATATTTTTTATCATCACCAGAAACTGAGTAAGCATAGCATTTAGGACGAAGAGCTATAAACCCTGTTATTATTTTACTTTTTAATTATCCTTAAATTTACCTAATACTTTCTTGTTATTCTCATCATAACATTTATGTTCCTTAGGATAATCTGAAAAATCTATTTCTTTTTTAATTGTATTCAGGTCTTCATAAATGTCATTGGTTTTAGTATGAAATACAAAACTGTCAGTATCAGTATATACCATTTTAATATTATCTCCATATTTAGGTTTCATAACGTCATAATAAAATTTATACATGTGTTGCTTACTCAAATCTAAAATACTCATCCCACTAAATATAGGTTTGTCTAGTTTCAACTTTGTTTTTTGCTTTTCAACTCCAACCAAATTTTCATTAATGATATGACTATGTTTGAAGTTAGGATTACTTACACACTTCATATATCTAGTTTCATCACTCACAACCTCAAAATCTAAATGTGTCCTTTTATCCTCCATTGTTTTTCCAAATATGGCATTGTTCATCAATTTGTAAACATCTTTCTCAAAATCATTTCTAGCATTCTTCCTCTTCTCAGTGTTAAACTCAATGTAAGTTTTTAAAACTTCTTTTTGTTCAAATTTAAT